AGAAAATTTAGAGACTAATTTGCAGCGTCAAAATGCAGGCACTTTGAAACTGACATGCATTCATCCACTACACCTCCAAAACATGATTCAAAGATGAAGGAGTCAAGCCTTATGACCCCCTGAACCTTTCCCTCAGAGATTGATGAAGCCCCAAGATGATCCATACTACAAGAAATTCCTCAACCTCTTTAGACAACTCCATATCAACATGCCATTGGCCGAGGCGTTGGAGCAAATGCCTACCTAAGCAAAGATCTTCAAGGAATTTCTTACTAATAAGCGTAAGTGGGATGACATGGAAAAGATAACCCTTAACTCTGAATGTAATGTTGTGAATCAAAATAAAGTTTTAGATAAAATGGACGATCCAAGGAGTTTCATTATCCCTTGTATTATTGGTTGTAACGAGTTTGATCATTCGCTTTGTGATCTTGGAGCGGCGGTCAACATGATGCCTTTTTCAGTCTACAAGAAGTTGGGATTGAAGAGTTCTTTAAAGTCCACTCATATCACTATTTGGTTGGCTAATCATTCCATGAAGCTACCAAATGGAATAGTAGAAAATGTATTGGTCAAGGTGGGGAAATTCATATTTCCGGTAGACTTTGTTGTCTTGGTGATGGAAGAAGACCAAGATGTTCCTCTCATTTTTGGAAGACCATTCTTAGCCACTGGCAATGCATTCATTGATGTAAGAAGATGTAAATGACCTTCAGCGTAGGTAAAGAGGAGGTAATTTTCAATGTCTTTCAATTTAATCATAATCATGAGTATTTTGATACCTCCGAAAGTAATGTCCAAGAAAGGAAAAGTACATCTTCTATTCCCAAGGTTATGCAAAAATTTCCTAAGTCGTAGATTGAAGAATTGAGAGAGGTACTATACTTGAAGGAGAATGACACTAGACAAGTAAATGAGGGGACGTGATACGGTGACAACCCCTAAGGGGTTGTCAGATTGACAACCAAGGGTATTTTGGGTATAAAAAAAGGAATATATTAATTACCTTTTTTGTATTAATCAGATTGGGAATTAAAAACCCATATTAAATATAATTTTTTTTGAAATTTAAATCCTATACATTAATATCTCTATCTCTCTCTCTTCCTTTCTCCTGCGGCCACTCCGCTTCGATGGAAAGACTATTTCTCTGGCGAATTCTCTCCGGCAGACTCCCTCCGGCAACCTGAAAAATGTACCAGTGCGTTAAAAAGTGAACCAATTCATTAGTCTACTGGTAATTAATATACCAGTGCTAGTGGTACGCTACTAGTGCGTTAAAAATGTACCAGTGCTAGTGGTACACTACCAGTACTAGTGGTACGCTACCAGTACTAGTGGTACGCTACCAGTGCTAGTCGTACACCATTACCACTTGTAGCGGTACCATTAGCAGTACCAGTACCACTGGTAGCGATACCATTGCCACTGGTAGCGTACCACTAGAGACTAGCACAAAAAAAATCAGATCTGAAATATGAAAAATCACAAATCTGAAAAAAAAAATCAGGGATGATGAAAGGGGGAGGCAGGGGAGAGGCGGTGACCTCGTGGCGACGGTGGTGGTGGGAGACAGAGGGCGGCGGGAGGGTTGCGACGACGGTGGTGGGAGTCGGAGGGCGCGATGACAGGAGGGCTGCAACAGTGATGAGAGGAGGAGGGCGTGGGGGGTCGGCAGGACGGCTGCAACGACGGTGGTGGCAGCCGATAGAGAGAGAGGGAAGAGATGGGAGGAAGAAGAAGAAGAAGAATAGGAAGAAGAAAGATGGCGTGAAAGAGAGAGGAAAGAGAGAATGTAGGATTTTAGGTATTAATAGGGGTAATAATCTAGTGTGGTCAATTTTTTTCGTCCAAAAATACCCTTAATCCAATCTGTACCATTGATTTGAAAAAAAAAAAGAGACAAGAGAGAGAATGAATCCTATGGTTATAAAATGGGTTGTCAATCTCACAACCTCATAATGGGGTTGTCACCATATCTCATCCCGTAAAAGAGCCATCACAAAAACTATCATCTCGGGTAGACAAATCAAAGCAAGGGCATGAATCTTTACCAGATTATCTAAAGCCAAAATAGTTGGGTAAGGATTTTGATCTTCTTGTTGCTATTCCTTCTTCACTAACTTTTAAGCAAGAATAGTACCTGCTTGAGGTACCTCAACATCACCTACGCCTCACTAGTGGAGTAAACAAGCATGCTAGAAAGGTTAGGCTCAATTTTTATTCCCCTGGCTCAGCCAAGGTAACTCAAATGTTAGATTGTGGTTATGCTTTCTATCAGTGTTCTGGTGGGTATTCTGGATATCTCTCAATTCCCATGGGTTGAAAGTGTCATAAATGTCAAGCTCGAGACGTTAAACAAGCGCTTCTTGTGAGGCATCCCGAGGTTTGTTTTTCTTGCAATTTTTTTCATAATTTCACTTTTTAGGATGTTGGAAGGATCTCCATAAAATTTGAACTCCAAATTCGTTGAGGAAGGTATTTTTCCAATTTCATAGGTGCATTGGCAGAATGCTTTGGTGAAAATGTGCAGCGGAAAAATGCTTTGTGCAGTGGAGAAATGCAGTGTGGGGTGGAATGTACCACTGATGGACTTGAAAGGTTGAAAAAGCAACCAGGAAGAAAAGAGGAACCATAAAACACTTTCTTTCCTTTATTTTATTTAAAAACGAAAAAAAAATTGAAAAAACAGTATAAAAAAGAGAAGGCCGTCGAGTTTCTCACTCTAAGACCCTTTGTATGTTCTTGGTTCTTTTCTACTTTTTTCTACAAAAAAATTTTTCACCAAACTCACAACCTCTACTGACGTCATTCTAAAACCCACTTCATCAAATCCGAAAAAAATTTCTCCATGCATTCTTCCCCTCCCTCACTTTTCCCCAAATCCTAGAGTTTTAGGGGTCGTTTGCTTCAAAGATTTGCATCATGGATTTGGTACCAAAAAACCAAACATCATGGATTTACACGCAATCCATTGTTTGCTTTGTCAAAAAATGTTTAGATAAATTTGTGGGCCCCACGGATTTGAGTTTTTTTTGCTCCAAATCCATGGGCCCCACGGTTTTATAAATCCCACCTCATACCCTGGGATTTGGAGACAAGCTGAAAAACCATCAAATCCATGATAAAATAGCTCAACAAACAAAGGATTTCCTCAAATCCATAATGCACAAAATTCCCAATAAATCCCAAGATTTTTAATTAGCATATCCATGACAAAACCCTCGTTATAAAATCCTTGAAGCAAACGACCCCTTAAATGGTTTCGTTGCCCGCACAAGAACTTATCAATATTCAAGCTGAGCTTCCCCACCAACAAGCATTCATGCTGGCCTATCCTCGTCGGGGTACTTCTTCCCCCACCACTGCTCACCTCACCCGTATACAACTTGTCCCAAGGTTTTTCTTCTTTAACTTTATTTACTTTTCTTTTATATGCTTGCATGTTTAGAAACTAGTTTTGAACATTAGAGACAATGTTCCATCCTAAGTGTGGGGTGGAGAGTTTTACTTTCGTTTAAGAGTATGTACTTGTATATAATGCTTGGTGAAGGTGAGTCATTTCTACTTTGTTTGATGTGTTGTGTCTTCAACTTGATAGGGTATAATGTTGTTGCTTGAAATGATGGTGTGAATGGTTTGTGAACTTATTATGCTTCGATGTATGAATCTGCCTTCCGGTTACCCCAAGTTAACCTTGTAATGCATAACTTGTGGTTGCAAGTAGGATTGCATGTTTCACATGATGTACCTTCATTTTAAATTTCACCCACTAGAACTGAATTGTGCCCGAACTTAGGTGAAATTGAGTATAATCTGTATATAGTAGGGTATGACATCTAGTAGTCGTGAGTTTGATTCTTCAAAGTCAATTTCATATTGTATGAAGTTTTTCATTGCTTTGTGTCTCGGTAATCTTGATCAAAACCACGCATGGACTGTGTTGTATATATGCAAGCATAAACGATAGAGATAATTAGTGCAACTCGAGCCAACGAGGTCTTTGGTATGGTCATAGTGACCCATTTTCATTTTCATGGTTTTGTAAATAAAGTTGATGTTCTAAGATAGTAGTTGAAGCTATAGTTTTGAGATGCATTTTTCCACCGCAGTCTGCAGTTTGACACTGCATAGGCATTCGGCCACTGCACCTTCTATTGCATCATTTTGTCTTCTACTACTTAGAAAAAAGATATTGATCATCAATGTAGTGTCTTTTAGTCTCATCCCCATAAAAAAAAAATTCAGCTTAAAAAAAGAGAGTGAAAAAGGGCCGAATAAATAAGGTATTAGCTATTTAACTTTGTTGTTGTCTCGTAATCACTAATTCAAATAATACTTGAAATTAAATCTCAATATCAAGTAAACAAAATAATATGTGTATTCAGTGAAAACAAATATCGTCAAATTCGATACGAGATACGGTATATCCCAAATAACAATACCAAAATTCCTGTCATACAAACACCAACTAAGCGTATATAGATGCTTTTGAAATCCGATATGAGATTCGGTATAACAATTTTTTTTTATTATTTAATCGTAAAGGAAGTCGGTCTTCTTATCTTTTGTTTCGTTTTCATGATGAATAATATGATTAATTCATTAAAAGGAAATGAAGTCTTTGTGTATCAGATCAGTGGTTGACATTTAAACAATACCAGCTTAACTGGCCTTACCTAATAGGAATTAAAACAAAATTGCGGATCGAATATACAATGAGAATAGGAAGGTGTTTAGGAAAACTTGCGTTTGTTGTGTTGTGACTTGTGAGAGTCAGCTCGGTGTGAATGATTAAAGAATGACTAGCACAGTGTATAGTTGTGGTATTTTTATTTCCAGTCATGGAGAATTATTATTCGATAAATGGAGTCTTTGTTTAATAATGATGATTATTATTATGATTATAATTGTATCGGACGGAGATCAAAGAGAAGCAAGCGCGTAGGGTTGACTTTGTGCTAGTATATAAAGATAGCGATGATGTGGGGTGAAGAAACACAACACAACACAATCCATTCTTTTCCAAGAACATGCCTGTTCTAACCAAAACTTGCCGGATGGCATTGTCTGCTAACGAGGTGTGGGGAGCGATTTCTGCTGCCACAAATATGTACCCGGCCGCCATGCCTAACCTGATTGCAGGCATCCGAGTGACCAGCCGAGACGGTGTTACTGCCGGTTCGGTTCGGGAGATCACTTTTGGAACTGGTACCTAGCTAGCAAGCAATTACACATCATTTACATTAATATATATGTAATAATCGTATTGTATGACGTCGTATATATGTTGCAGCCACAGCAGGTATGGTCAGCCAGGCAACCGAGCAGATTACCAGGGTCGACCATGCCACTCGAACCGTCGAATCCACCTTTAACAATGATAGGAACTTCGTGGGCAGGCACTTTCGTTCTGCCTCCCTGGTCGTAAAGGTGGATCCTAATAACGCCGACGATGGCCCCAACTCTCGAGGTTCCACAATCACCTGGACTTTGACCTACTCATGGATTTCAGCTACTGCATCAGGCGGACTCAATTTGGACGTTTTCTGGAATGCTATAGAGCAGGGATTCAAGGATTTAGACACTTACATCTAGGTCCCCCGCCCATAATGAATGAAAATCCATCATCTACTACGCACGACGACGACGCTTGATTTTTCATTTGCCTTTCCGTCTACTCTTATCTTTCCGTTTTCCTTCTTCGTTTTTCATTCTCTTGTAGCTTCTCTGTCCTAATGTTGAGCGTGCATGCCTGCCTCTCCTAACTAATATATCTGTACTAATTTTCAAATTGGAGAAAATTTTGCAATTATTTACAACATCAATCGTCATTTCATTCCAAACCAACACATGTGGGAAGCAATACAATTACAATAATGGAGAGATAAGATCGGCAATGACAATCCATTCAGGAGGAAGGAGACCAAGACGAGAGTTCATCGCAATCCAATCAGCCAAGACATTGAATCGACGGGGAACAAACTCGACCGAGATCCACGGAGAAACACAAAGAATGGAGACAACCGGGCAAGAGTTGCCCGACATTGCCAGGGCCAAATGCTCGGATCTTGCCCGGTCTTCGTACCTTGCCCACCGCTACCGCCATGTGGAAGAGTCTCGTTGAGACGTATTCCACCACAAGCTTTGCTCACAGTTTTATTTGGAGATAGAGCTTTCTTCTCTTCGCCAGGGTAGCCTCGATATTGCGTCTTACTATAATGCTGCTCGACAACTTTGTACCGAGCAGGATCTGGTTTCTGCATCGTTGACCCCATCTGGCATCTCGGACGAGGTCAAGGCAGAGAAGAATCAGGTGCATCTTCTTCAATTTCTTGCTCGACTTCGACCAGAGTATGAAACGCTCCATGCTAGTCTTATTCATTGGGAAAATATGAAGCTGGAGGGTGTTCATGCTGCCTTGCTTCAACAAGAGACGAGGATCCGCTCCCAGGTTGTTCTCGATATTAAGCCCGGCTCCGGGGAGGCCGTATTTGCTGCGTCTCAAGCCTCCAAACCTGCTGGTTCCGCTTCACGTGAGGGACGTCTGCCTCCTTTTACTCGTGAAGAACCCACTGATGCGACCTCCTTTGTTGCATATCGTCCTCAGTTTCAACAGCAACGATCGGAGGTAGAATGTCATCACTACCGCGCCAAGGGACATACCCAAAAATATTGTCGTAAACGCAACTTTTGCGTTTATTGCAAGAAGACAGGTCATCTAATTTCGGATTTCTCGGCGCTGCAAGCTCGTATGAAAGATGTTGGTGGTTCTTCTTCTCGTGGTCCCTCTGGTGGACGGCTAGTATATGCTACTCAACCCACTGACGCATCTCCGGACAGTGGCAGCGGTCCCGATGCTCTTGAGCAGCTCGTCAACAAGGCCATTGCCTCAACCTTCTCGAGTCTGCAAGTCTCCGGTAAGGGCTCTCCTTGGATTCTTGATTCTGGTTGTTATAATCATACGAAGGGTAATGGTTCTATGCTTACTAATGTTCGACCAGTACAAAGATGGGCTTACAGGTTGCTAATGGTGCGAATTTAGAAGTGGCTAGGGTTGGGTCTATGTCCCAACCGAATTTGGTTTTTCCTACTACGTTACATGTTCCCGATTTGGTCCCTAATTTGGTGTCTGTTGGACAATTAACTGAAAAAGATTTTCGTGTTGTTTTTGCACCCTCTGGCTTCTCTGTGCAGGATATGAAGATCGGGAGGGAAATCGGTCAGGGTAGCAAAAAGGGCTGGATTTTTCATCTTGAGGAACTAGCAGCTCGGCCTGCTTTATCATCGTCGTCGTCGGTTTCTCAGTCGGTGTCTAGGGTACCCTCTTCTTCTTAGGTATCTAGGAACATTGATTCTTTGCCAGTCTTTTCTAGTGTTCGGGAGAAAACATTTCAGTTGTGGCATTCTCATTTGGGTCATCCCCATTCTCGTCAGCTTTCCACTATGTTTAAACAAAAATTATTTGGCAATAATGTGCAATTTGATTCTTCCTCTTATCTTTCTTGAACATGTTGCGTGGAAGCTAAGGCCACTCGCATTTCTTTTCCTTCTACCCACACTACCATTACCGAGCCTTTCCACCTCATTCATACTGATCTATGGGGGCTGGGTCCTGTGACATCTCGGCATGGTTATAAGTATTTTTCCCTATTTGTTGATCATTCTACTCAACACACATGGATCTATTTTTTACGTCTTAAGTCAGATCTGTTGAGCATTGCTACTGAATTTATTGCCATGATCCAGACTCAGTTTTCTAAAACCATTCACATAATTCACTCCGACGAGCGGGGAGAGTTCAGCTCCACTCCTCTTCTTCAACTCTACAAGTCACTTGGGATCCTCTCTCAAAAGGCTTGTCCTGGAGCTTCTCAGCAGAATGGTTTAGTAGAATGTAAAAATTGCCATGTTTTGGAGATTGCTCGAGCCCCTCTCCTTGCCTCTCATGCCCCTTCCAGGTTCTGGCCAGAAACAGTCTCCACCGCCATTCATCTCATTAACTTTCGGATCACTCCTATTCTTCGTCAAACTAGTCCCTTTTTCCAGCTCTATTCCACGCATCCTCCTTATTCTCGGCTTTGTGTCCTCGGTTGTGTCTACTTTGTCCTTCTTTCCCGATCCGAGCATACCAAGTTAATGCCCAAAACCTCTCGTTGTGTCTTTCTCGGTTATAGTGGTATCGATAAGGGTTACATCTATCTTGATCCCTCTCTCCAGCGTGTCCGTATATCTTTGAAAATCTTATGTACTACACGTCTTCTTCATCCGAGTCAACCCCTCTGTTTGATACTTCTCTCGGTCAACAAGTTTTTCTGATTACGACGACATGGGCCTTCCCGATGATGAGCTGCCCCCCGATCCACTGACTCCCTTCTCGCCAGTATCAACCACATCGACGTCCAGTGCCTCTTCTGTCGAGTCCTCTCCAGCAGACAGCCCTGCCGCAACCCCGGTTCCTCTCCGTCGGTCAAAACGATCTACCTACGGGCAACCTCCAGCTCCGCTACATGATTTTGCACACGCACAGGGCAATCCCTTCTGGGATAAGGCTATGACAGATGAGATAGATGCTTTACATGCCAACTACACCAAGGATGTGGTTCCCCGCCCTCCTCTAGAAGTGCCAGTCGTAGGTAGCCGTTGGGTTTATTATCTGAAGTTTCTTTTGGATGGGGCGCTTGAGCACTTCAAGGCTCGCGTAGTTGCTCAATACTTTACACAGGAGTATGGTGTTGACTTTACTAAGACTTTTGCTCCGGTGGCTAATGTTAGAACATAAGCGTGCAATCGATAATCCAGACAAACCAAATTCCGAAACGGACAAACCAACTAACTATCCCGACTGACCTGACTACAGATTAGGGTGGTGAAGAGTATTTATAGAACTCTTCTTCTAATCCCAAACAGTAAACCAAAGACATTTTCAAAACATAAAAGGAAAAGGCCAAAACAAAGCCCAAACACCAAACCAAACAAAATAGGCCCAAAAAACAAAACAAACCCAAATCAAATTCAAGTCATATCCTAACAATCTCCACCTTGACTTGAATTCTGTCTCTAATACCAGATGTACTAGACGCAACCAAGGTTGCCAGATGTACCCAAACGTGATACATATCACCTGACGTATCCAAATGTGATCGAAACCGCCAAACTCAAACACGATGCAAAATCTCCAAACTCAGATGCAAACAAAATTACCAGACGTATCCAAATGTGATCCATATCACCAGACTCAAACGCGATGTATATCAGCAAACTCAAATGCAATAAAAATTGCCAGAAGTGTCAAACTCTCCAAATCTCTATATGTATCTAAACCTCCCCTGCCTCCAAATGCCCCTAAGGGCGATCAACAAATCAAAACATGCAGCAAGTCCAACCCTTGTTGGGACTTGCCATGCAGAACTAGGTTGGTGTTATTTCCGTCCATAACACCAATATCATATTTTCCTCTATCTCCAAACATGCAACTCCAAACTAATTTCTCAATCTTCAAATCTAGAACAAACATCCTTGACTAAAAACACTTAAAATGACTTCACCTTCTTGAAGGTGAGTTACTTCTTTAAAAGACCTTGTTTCTTAAACTTTAACAATAACTTGTACTCGAAAAATTTCAAAGTAAATAATAACCATTCACTTCAAGTTATAATTCAAACAAGGCACATATCATCAACCATAATCATGCAATCTCAAACATGAATCAAATACTACACATACATCATGCAAATCAATACTCGAAAAATACTCAAGGAATATACTTGAAGAAAACGTAAGACGTAGAATTTACCTACTTTACACTCACCTTATTAACTGGTTGAGGTTTACGACCTAAGTGTTCACTTGACTTGATCGTTTCACTCCACTGATTCGAACCCCAGTCCACTAACATATTCGAAACCCATGGCTATATAATCATTGCCACCTCCTCGTACAGAGCAATTACCCCATGGTTTCAAGACCCTTAACTGCGTACGTTCACCGTTGTTTTAACCCCATTCTTAACCAAATCACTTCCTCCAGTAATAAGAAACGCATTGTTGCTCCACCATGAACTAATGTTAATTGCCCATACCAATTACACAAAGAAAAACAACATTTTCGTTCATTATCATAAGTCTGATCGTCCATGCATATCTCACGCAAATTATGTCCATCATGTGCGGTATACCTCTACCGCCCAATTCAACATCAACTAGGGGTCATTTGGCTTTGTTGATTGTTTGGTGGGGATAGTTACAATGCATGTATTGTCCACAATATATATATATATTTTTTTGAATTTTCTGCACAAACAATACATGCATTGTTTGCTTGATGTGACACAAACTATCACTCAAAATGAGTGATAGTTAAATCTCAAGTTTTTTGTGAGATTGTTGAGATTGTTTGGTAGAGATTGTTGGGTTATTTTTTCTTCCAACTATTTCTCTACCTTTTTATGTGTATTACTTTTTATAATAAAAACAAAGGGTAAAAGTGACATTTCACCAAAAATTCATATAACTTGTTTAAATACTACAATAACTATCACCGAAACTAAACTATGTAAACTACAATACACAAATTTTCTTATATACATGCATTGATGACAATGCATCGATTTAACTATCACCAAAACCAAACCACCCTAAAGCCTTACCTCTGTATTGAACAGTCACGGCGTTTGGTTTGTCATCGGCACTGTATCCAAGATGGACTATATCCTCTAGAATGACCCGCTTACACATGGGAAAGAAGGCTGATCAATCACATCGCTGGTTAGTATAGAAACATTTGAATATTCTCCATCACTTTCAATGAAACTGATATCCTCCACGAACCTCTTCTTCTTATTGTCGAACACCACGGTAAGCTGAGTTCTGGTCTCCGCCGCACAAGCTCTCTCTCCCTCTGTGAATAGTCTGCGTTAGAGGCCTTCCCGCTATCTCTTTCATTGTTTGCGCCACTCCGTTTCCCCGCTATTGGTCGATGACTATGACAAGGAAAAGTAACGTGATATAGAAGAGGAATCGCAATGGGTTTCCTAATGTTGTTGCGCTAAGAACCACGGGACTGGGGTTTCTTCCTTTTTTTCTTCCTTCGTCCGGCGCTACTCTGATTGGGAATGGATGGGAACGGATCAGGTCAGTAACTTTATGGTGAGTAACCCATCCACATCAGCATGACATCAGCCTGACATCAGCATCACTCTCTCCTTGAAAGCCTTTAATTCTCCCCTCTTTAATCTTTGACAGACGATTTCTCACTCGTTTTAAGTCAAAATTTAATTTATTTTTTTTTGCACAGTTACATCAGATTAATTGTGCTCTTCAAAATGATATCCACTTTGATATATTTTTCAAACAAAACAAATTGATTCATTTTTTACCAGTCTATATGACTCACTCCTACTGTCACTCTAGAAATTGGCCAAGTGTAACCACTTCCTAAAGCGTAGTATAGCGAGTTTGGGTTTTAATGTCAACCCGGGTCCTAGATTTGATGACTACTCAGTGAATTCTTATTATCTAGCGGTAAAACTTAAGTGCAGGTTCAAACAAAGAAAAACACAAAGCAAGTTAAACGGTTGTTTCAAGTCGAGAGAGGTCACCCGGATATGGTTCCCCCTAGACTGCAGTTAAGTCGGATTGCAATTTACCAAGCTCAGTTTCCATGAAAGTTATACTGCGGAAGGTTCTTAAACAGACTGAAGTCTCGACTAAAGGTCTTCAGATGGTGGTGTCAAACACTGTGTGCTCCTGTATGCAGTGGAGCTGCTCGAACACTGCCCACTCCAGATGGTGGTGTCGCTCCAATTTCCCCCGAGTCACCGCGCGGAACAGGTCCGCGTAATCCGGGTGCAGGCTCAGGCCTTGCACAAACCGATGGTCGAGGGACATGCTCCTGCAAAATCAACAAACCAAAGGTGGAGCCAAGAAAAAAACTTGTCAGGACCAACAACATGGGTTCATCATTTCCCCCACACTTAAGGATCACCTAGGCTAACAGTTTTAAGCACAGACGCTTGAATCGCAAGCAACTCAACCGGAATCAAGGCAAGAACCACAGAACCAACCACATTAATTACACGGGCAGCACATACACCATAGATAGAACCATGCATACTCAAAGCATCCCTCACCCTATTCTAAATCATGCATGCAAATACAGTTCTCGGTCCTACAATCTACAGTTCGATTTTCCAGGAAAGAGCAGTTAACAAGAAACACACCTGAAAACGCAAGTAGAACTGTAGCTAAGGCTCAAAAAACGGGTGAGGGACGCGAGACGGAGGCCAAAAATGACCCGGGAGGCTGGCCGGAAAATGGCCGGAAAACGACCGGCGGCGGCCGCCGGCAGAGTGCAGTGGCCGGAGGCGGGAGGCGGCGGAGCGCGGCTGCTGGCGGCGCTCAAGAAGAGAGAGGGGAGAGGATTTGGCAGGAAGAGAGAGGAGAAAATTTTGAAAAATGAGGGTAGAGAGAGAAACTGACCGAGGGCCGGTCGGGTAGTTTTTGATTCCACGACCGGGGGCTCCAAAAAGCGGCGTGTCGATTGAAAGGAAATCCCCGACCGGGTATTTTTGGGTCAAGGTCGGGGGGTTTGAAAATGCTGCGTTCCATCTTGGTAAATCCCCGGCCGTGAACCAAAAATACCCGGTCGTGTATTTTTGGGACAAGGTCGGGGGTTTTCCCTTTTTGACCCCGAGAAACAGAAGGCGGCCCGATCGTGGACCAAAAATACCCGGTCGGGTATTTTGACCCACGACCGGGTATTTGCCCCCTTCCGGCCAAAAATCTTATTCGCCCAAATTTTCGACCTCGCCTGCACGACAGCACCAAATCGAGGCATAACAGACGACCGAACTTCACCACAGACATGCAACTGACTCAATACGACACAAAAACTCAGAAAAAATGGAAAAATAAATGCAAACCGTGGTGGGGTTGCCTCCCCACAAGCGCTTCTTTACCGTCTTTTAGCTGGACGCCCATGGTGGATACTCAGGGAGGTGCAGGAACAGGTGCCTCCAAGAGCGGATTCACATCGCTCTTGAGGTACAGCTTCAGGTTGTGGCCATGCACCCGACGGGTGCAACCACCAGCATTGGCCAGCTCGACCTGGCCATCCGGCAAGATGCAGGCGAGTGAGTACTCGGATGGCCAGGGTGGTCGTGGTGCAGGAGGTGGAACCAGCTCGTAGTGGTCTCCACCCTTCTTCTATGCAGGCTTAGCAACCTGCTGCTTCGGCCGCCACTCCTCCTTGAGCTTTTTGTTCGGAGGCGAGGCTGGATGGAGTGGCGGTGAAGGAATGATAGGAGGGTCCTGCAAAATGAGAGGTGCAGAAGGATACACGACAGACTCGTGTACCTGATCAGAAATGGCATGCACAGGTGTGACAGCAATCATAGCACAGTGATCGAATTCAGTCACATAAAAAGTAGCATGTTCATTTCCAGCACGCAAGATCAGTTTACCATCATGCACATCAATAAGTGCCTTGGCGGTGGCAAGAAATGGTCTACCCAGAATCAAAGGCACATCCACATCCTCATGTATATCAAGAATAACAAAATCAACATGATATGTGAATGCACCTACATTAACAAGCAGATCCTCTATGATCCCCCTAGGATGCACAATGGAACGATCAGCTAGCTGAATGCTCATCCTAGTAGGGCTAAGTTCACCTAGGTCTAGCTTTTTATACAACTTTTATGGCATGACATTTATGCTAGCGCCTAGGTCCGCCAAGGACTTGCCTACATGCATGTTGCCAATAGTAAGAGGGATAGTAAAACTCCCTGGGTCCTTGCGCTTTTCGGGCAGCTTGTTCTGCAGGATAGCAGAACACTCCTCGCTCAGCAGCACTGTCGATAGATCCCCAAGTTTCTTCTTGTTGGTGAGGAGATCTTTCATGAACTTTGCGTACTTGGGCATCTTCGATAGTGCCTCCACAAAAGGTATGCTGATGTTGAGCTGCTTCAACATTGCCATAAACTTCGCAAACTCAGTCTCCAGCTTGTCTTTGTGTAGGCGAGTGGGGAAGGGAACCTGGGGCACATGCTCCTTAACCACTGGTTGTGGCTTGGGAGCAGGGGCTTCCTTCTCCACCCGCACTTCTGCATCGTCAGCTGGAAGTGCTGAAGCAGGTAGTGGTTCCTTCTGCCTGGCCGGGGCAGGATCAGCGGAGATGGTCTTGCTGCTCCTTGTGAAAATGGCATCCAGCTGCTGGTGTGGCTCCCGTGGATTGGGGATGGTGGTGGCAGGTAGAGTCCCCGGTGCCCTGGTATTGTTCTGGCGGGCTATTCCTCCAATATGATGTTGGAGGTCCTGAAGTATAGCACCTTGGTTCCTCTGACCTGCCTCCAGCGAGGCGATGCTCTGGTCTATCCTGGCGAAATTTGCCTGGATGGTAGTCATGAATGCCGCTAAAATGTTTTCAGCTCCGTCATCTGGTTATCTGGAGCTGGAGCTACTGCTGGCTCGGCATTCATGACTCTGGGGCTGCTCGAATGGCTGCCCCTGCCTAGGATGGTAGGGCTGTTGCGGTGGAACTGGCCCCTGTCTGGCCTGGAAAGGCTGCCTCTGCTGAAAACCACCTGCTGGCTCTGGGAAACCAGGTGGCTTAGTGGGGTTACTACTCTAAGCGAAGTTGGGATGCTGGCGCCACCCCTCATTGTATGTGTTACTGTATGGATCGAGGCACCGCGCATTGGCGATGAAGGCCAACTGCTCTTGGGGTGTAGAGGACTCCCGCATAGCCTGGCAGTCCTCCACCAGATGATTCGAGCTCTCACACCACTAACATTGAGCTACGGGAGGTCCGCCCAGACCTCTGCCCGGGATGAGACTGTTGGGCTACTTCAATGTCTGCACTAACTCAGCTACTTGCTGCTCGAGCCCAGACATGGCCTCCATCGCGTGCACACCACTGTCCCGGGAATGTCTGCCTTTGCTGCTCTGCCCCCAGAAATGATCTCTGGCAGCCAATGTACTGATCATCTGGTTCAGTTCGGGTGGAGTCTTGGTAAGAATGTCCCCTGCTGGGCATAGAGACTCAATCACCCTCTGGCTTTCCGAAGAGAGAGCACTGTAGAAGTTCCCTACTGTGAATGCATCACTAAAGCCATGATGGGGACACTGCCAGAAATATCCCATGTACCGCTCCCATGCATCACGAAGTGACTCGTCTGGCTCTTGGCGTAAGTGAGTGATCTCCCGCTGGATCTTTATGGTCTTCGATGCTGGGTAGTACCTGTGCACGAACTTTTCAGCCAGATCGTCTCAAGAAGTGATGGACAATGGGGGCTGGGTCTCCAACCACCTCTTAGCATTCCCTGCCAGAGAATGGGGGAAGAGGTGAAGGCGGATTGCGTCATCAGGGACACCGTTCAGCTTGAACCCGTTCGTCAGCAGCAGAAAACGGGAAAGATGCACCCTTGCCTCCTCATCCTTCAAGCCATGGAACTGGATAGAGGATGTAATGAGTTGAATCCAGCATGGCTTGATCTCGAAGTTGTTTGCTGGAATGGGCGGATAGAGGATGACCGGGCGGATGTCAGCAATCCGTGGAGTGTAGTAGTACTCCAAGGTGGGACCCGGTGGTGGTGGGTGATGATGAACCCCATCTGCCTGGGGTATGGGGTTGTTCCCCAAGAGCTGATTCACCGGGGGAACCTGGAGAGATTTCCAGGGGGTGAGTTGTGTTCTCCTTCCATCACGTACTCGTCCTCGGACTCGCTGCTCAAATTGCCGTCTATGCCCTCCTCCGTAGCCAGTCTAGCTCGCTGTTGTCTCCTGAGTTGGCGACCGGTGCGTTCAATCTCTGGATTCAACGGCAGTAAACCTCCCGACTGACTATGGGTCATGCACTACCTGCACACACTCAAGCAAGCAAATCCGTGAAGGCACAAGTGGGAAAGAACAATCAGTCGATGCGAAAACGAAAATGCTAAAGTAACAGAAATCACTTTTCTTCAACAACCTAGCCGTCCCCGGCAACGGCGCCAAAAACTTGACTCACTCCTACTGTCACTCTAGAAATTGGCCAAGTGTAACCACTTCCTAAAGCGTAGTATAGCGGGTTTGGGTTTTAATGTCAACCCGGGTCCTTGATTTGATGACTACTCAGTGAATTCTTATTATCCAGCGGTAAAACTTAAGTGCAGGTTCAAACAAACAAAAACACAAAGCAAGTTAAACGGTTGTTTCAAGTCGAGAGAGGTCACCCGGATATGGTTCCCCCTAGACTGCAGTTAAGCCGGATTGCAATTTACCAAGCTCAGTTTACATGAAAGTTATACTGCGGAAGGTTCTTAAACAGTCTGAAGTCTCGACTAAAGGTCTTCAGACCCTCTCAATCTGAGTCTCCAGCGGGCGACTAACCTCCACCGGAGTAAACAGATTGAGGCCCTAACGAACCAAACCTCCACTACCGAATTGAATTCGGTACAGAATAGCGAATTGGCTCCTCGACTAAAGTCACCAATTCGCCACCTTCAATTAAGGGTGCTCTATCAACCTAGGCAGATATTCTCATTCTAGGTTAAAGCAGAAACAACAGGAATTTGATCAAGATTCAAGTCATTCAATCATTCAAGCCTCAATCGAATATAATCAACGCATGAAATCTGTACTTGGGTTCATACAATCAGACCTAACATACAAATCTAGGGTTCTCCATACCCAGATGAATGGGAAAACTACTCCGTGGAGAGAGAAGCAAAAGCAGATTCAGACGCGGAAATCATACTGTGAAGGATGAGTTTCTCTTCCTGGTTGTCAATCGGCACTTCTCCAAGCTCAAGCCGGGCTCCAATGGTGATGAAGATCAAGCTATGGCACTTGGGAACTCTGGTTCGTCGCTTTCTCTCTCTAGGAATCGCTCTGTCTCTCTAAAACTCGGAACCCTTGATTTTCAGCCTTCTTTTCCTTTAAAAGGCTGACTGTCGCGATACCCGGTCGAAATACCCGGTCGGGTATTTTGGGTCTCGAACGGGTATAATTGAAACGCACGTTTTGATGTCAGGGGAAAATCCCCCGTCTGTCCCAAGAATCCCCGACCGGGGGTTTTTGCCTCCTGCCCGGGCCCCCCTCTATTTCTCATGGGCGCCCAAAACAATAAATACACGGTCGGGTATTTGAGCCCATGACCTGGTATTTTCCTCCTGCAGCACACTTCGACCCAACTTCGCTCCTTTCGACCCAAAACTCGTTTCTTCGCCTCGATTCCAACGCCGGGCCCTGAAATATGACATAAACACACAACCTCGCATGAAATTGGCTTAAAACACAAGAATCAACCTCTCAAACGGCTCAAGAATAGGGGTAAAAACATACCATGGTGGTATGAACAAACCAACAATGGCCAAGTGTAACCAATGAAAGGGACTGCAGTATAGTGTCACAAGTAATAAATATCGAATCCACGGGTCTCTAGAGTTACTATTACTCTGCTTCAGTTCATTATCTAGCAAACTAGATTAAAGATTGATTTACTAAACTACTCTACTAAGTACTCTACTAATTACAAGTTGGGAACTCACTTAGGTATGATTCCCCCTAGCTCCTCAATTAGGTCCAAGTTGCAATTACCTTTGGTTGATCTACTGTTGATTAAACTGCGGAAGATCCTAAATTAGCTTGGAATCTCTTAAGCTGACCAAGCCCTCTTAGACAGAATACCCGGCAGGCGACTAGCCTTCACCGGGATAGACTGCTAAGGCGATTCACATAGATCTCCACTACTGGAATGAATTCCAGTACAAAGCAGTGAATTGATTGACTCTCGCACAACCAATTAACCACTATCAATCAAGGAAGCTCTCTTAACCTAATCAGATTCTATCTATCATAGGTTAAAGCAGAATTCAAGAGAAGATGATCAGGCTTCAATTGACTCTATAAATCATGCCTCAATTTATTATAATCAAACAATATAGCATCCAAAACTTCATACAAGAAAGATCTTAACACATGGAACTAGAGTTCCTCAAAACTTAAGTGAAGGGAAGTTACTCCATAGAGAAGAGAGAGACTGCATAAATCTGATCTAGATCTTCAATCTCCATCTCCAAGCTTGATTCCCGAGCTCCAATGGTGAAGAAATCCTCCAAAATAGCTCCAAGAATGTTCCCAAGTCGCTCTCTCTCTCTAGGGTTCGTCCCTTGGGTGTTTTGGGAACCAAAACCCAGCTCCCCCTTTCCTTTGGTTCGAATCTGCCTCAAAAACCTGATTCTGGGCAAAATACGGGCAGAAATACGGTCGTAATTCTTCCATGCCCGTATTTTGCCCAAAACACGCATTTTGGTTAAGTTTCAGCGCATCCAAAGCTCCTCTCGACAGTGAAAATACGGGCATGGGAGGGGAAAATACGGTCGTAATTCAACTGCCCGTAATTCTTCCTCCGCCCCTGTTTAATGCTTCGTTTCTCCCTCGTCCGGACTCTGAATCAGTCACCGTTTGATCTCAGACGCTTGTAGTCTCGTCCTCTATCTTTTCATGACAAGATTACATGATTATTTTTCCAAAATATGAGGTAGAAGTCCATTCTTCCTCAGGTCATGCTCGTGTTTCTTCTCCCGAATTGCCAAATGATCTCGGATTGACTTGAAACTTGCGCCTATGCTTCAATTTACATGCTAGGACCTGAAATGTGATAAAGGAACACAACCCAGCGTAAAATAGTCCAAGAAATCAAAAAATCAAGCCAAAATGATCAAGAAACGAGGGTGCAAACATGTGCAAATATGATGTTATCAAATTCCCCCACACTTAACCGTTTGCTTGTCCCCAAGCAAACCAAGTCAGATACAAGGTAAGTTCAAAAAATTTTAACCATGAAACCCTTGGGGACATATCATATAGGCACGAAACAAGGGAATCATACTGGCTTTTAGACATCAACACATGAACAACTTCAACAGCAACCTGGACGGCCACCACAGAGGACATTCGAGTGCAGCAAAATCGGGTAAAGGAAGAGTCTCCCTTCTGTTCACCAACCAACCTAGACTTGACTCAACCACTTATTCAAGACAGTTAGCTCATGCATAAAACTCAAGACATCAGAATCAAGACCGAGCCATCTAGGTCCTCACCGGGGTAAAGAGTGTAAAGAACAAGGAAATGAATCGCTCACTCTCGACCAGTGGGGTCAGGACATTTTGATGCGAAAAATGCGCATACTTATTCTCTCAATCCCTAACGTCTCTTCACCATGACGGCAACCTCTAAATGTTAGAGTTCACATAAATGGGTGTCATCACTAACTAATCCGGAGGTCTTAGACACAGGTTCAAATGACTGGCTAGGGTCTTGGACATGGGGAAAAGGCCTTTTAGGTGGTGGAAGTATTCATAGCACAAGGTTCCACAGTTCCAAACCCAACACAATCACAACCAATCAATCCGGTACTTCCTTTCTGCTATTCTGCATTACTCAAATTCTCTAGAGCACAAGAGCGAAGGAGGTCATATAAATGTTAGCATTTCCAAGCCAGAGTGCTAAGAAACACTACTTAATGGACACTATTCAGGTTTTTGGTAGTGGCTCTCTTTTGCTTTTATTTTTTTCTTTGTTTTTCTTTCATTTTTTTTCATTTCTTAATAGAAACACCACCTCTGCACATTTTTCAAACACATGCCCAATTTGTAATCACTACCTCCAACCCTCACATTATATTTAGCAGAAACAGCAGAGAACATGTAAAAACCACTCTGTGGAACCTTCTAAGAGATGCAAAAGGGTGATTTTCCATTGTAGACCGAAAGAAAGGATAACACACGGCTCAAAAGGGCTGACTAGGGGGTATGACACATCAGGACAGTCAATTTGGTCGTGGGCCAATCCTATGCCTCCATCATCTTAGCTAATGACAACGTGAATGCTACACATCATGGAAGAGGGATCTATCGCACAAGAAAGAAACGAGCAGGCTCAAATCTCACATGGCTACCTATATGCTCTATCTCTCATTCTGATTCCCTGAACTAGATGCATAAAAGACTGTCAAGAACAAGTGAGCAATCCAAATAACAGTTGGTAAGCTAACAGTTGAAAAACTGAACCCCTATACAACTCTACTGCATGTCTCAGTCATCATTATAGGTTTTCCTAGTCACAATCCAGTTGTCATGCATTCATTCGAAAGCCATTCGATTCGCCAATTAAACTCACAATGCCAATACGATCAAGCAAACAACAGTAATTGGAGCCCTCAAATCTCAAGATTTGGACAGTGGACTAGGCTCCAAGCACACAAATACAGCCAAACATTCACACGCATACATAATCGAACATCCCCCCACACTTAAGCACGACATTGTCCTCAATGGAGGAAAGATAAGGAGGGTAAAACGAAGTTACCAGATCAATGGTGAATGATGGTGGACGGGGCAGGCGTTGCATTCTAGGAGGACAGAGTAGTCGGAACACAAACAACACACAAAATCTCACAAAGGTTGAGTTATTGACTCTAACATCAGAGAACAAAACTGACTCAACTGAGGAGAGATAGGGAAAGAAATGCAAACCGACTAGTTGGGTTGCCTCCCAGCAAGCGCTTCTTTCACGTCGTGAGCCGGACGATAGCTCCTAAGTTTCGGTCCATGCTAGAACCTCTTTGAAGTTGAGGTTCTCATCTATGACGTGGAGTCTCAAGTCATGAGCAGGTGGTGTGATAAGCTTCATAAACATATATGTATTTTGTGCATAAATGATTTATCTTTATGTATGTATGTGTTTAAATTGCTCTAAATTAGTTCATATTGACCATGGAATGGCCCTAGGGTCATTACCAAGACATGTAGCGATTTAACACAGATTGAAGCTAAGATTGTGAACAAAACAAAGTGCACTGGACGAATGCAGGTGCAGTGTCAAAATGCAGATGTGCAGAGGCAAACGTCCAGCAGGAGGCCAAATCGATGAAGACCCAAATCAAATTATTGTGGTTGGAATCTTCACTCAACTGTCAGCAACCCTTATAAATCATTGGGATTGGGTCAGATTTCTTGAAGTGAGCAAATAGATTTGGTGGCTCACCAATAGAGAAAATGATGCAAGAATTTATTGCAAAGAAAGAGACTTAAGCTAGCAGCAGCCTTCTCTTGGAAATGTGACCTGCAAGTGTCTTGTTTTGTGGGATTAAATCTGCAGAAAATGGATTTAAAAGGGGCAGCAACTAGGAGACTTGGGGGACACTTTTGGAGACTAGTTTTAGACAGAAAAATCAAAGGAGAGAGCTCACTTTGGCACACTTTGGAGTTGAGCATTTTGAAGAAAGGAAGACTCTTGTAAGTTGGGGATTAACTCCAACACTTAGTACTTTCTCTACTCCTTTGTTTTTGGTAGTTAGTCATCATGTTGAACATTAGCATGTTTATGTACTTTCTTTTCATCATGAACTAATCCCCCAATTTCTGGGGGAAACTTAAGGATTTCATTATCTAGCCTCGATGTTTTAATCATGACTTGTTTTTCTTCCATTTTCTATCGTGTGGAATTGTTTAACGCTTTGTGTTGATTGGCCACCTTCACAAGGATTTGTAGTTTTCTAGGTTAATAACGATAGTGAAAACCTAGTAACCAAACATATTTCACACGACATAATTGCCTATTGAAGCGATAGTGGATTAAATAGGGAATTATGCAGTCATTTCAGGGATATCGTTCTTAAGGCTAATTAATTAATTCAGTTAACTACGATAGTAGAAATTGTCTTAATTAGTTAGTACGTGGTAATTCTCGATAGAGATAGCTATCAAAGTATAGGTATCCCGATTGTAGAAATATGGATTAAATCGATTGACAAGGGTAATTAAATTTACTGAGGTAAATTAGTAAAATCTTGTGTTTCCCCCGGAACTCTACAATATCAAATTCTCCAAAATAATTGATTTATCGAGTTACTTAATTTGTGCGATCATTGCAAATCATCACTTGATTACAGCCCTTTGCAATTCTTATAGTTTCTTGAACTAAATTTGTTAATTATTGAGTTTCACCAATCCCTTAGAGAACGATAATTTTACTTACACTTTATTACTTGTACGACACTGTGCACTTGCAGTTTTGTCGCCACCAAGTTTTTGGCGCCGTTGCCGGGGATTGTCAAAAATTCAGTTTTAATAAATTTTTGTTTGAGTGAACTATTTTGATTTGTGTTTTAGTGTTCAGGAAAAGTTCAGAATATTTCTTCTTGGCGTATGCGAAGAAGGGAGACTAAGGAGTTGTTGCCGCTAAATCACGAAATCGAGAAGGCGTGTAAGTACAACCGGAAGCAGGCGAGGGTAGGAAAAATCATCCAATCTAAATCAGCACCTACCTCTCCAAAAGGCCATCAAGACGAAGAGAAGGGTTTGATCTCTTCACTTATAGGCAAAATGGAGGAGGGAGCTACCCAAGGCCACAACAACAATCAACATCGTGAAGGGAGGAATGACCCACCTGAAGATCGAACCATCCGAGGCAATCTTAATCGAAGAACTGGAGCCCGAGCTTCAGGGGTTGTCATTCCATCCTTCATCAACATGATCACAAATGGCTACACATTCTCTGGAGCAAGTACAGAAGATCCTCATGACCATTTGAGGAGATTTTGTAGCATTTGTGATACCATGAAGAATCCTGGCGTGTCCGATGATGCAATCCGACTGCGTATGTTTTCATTCTCATTAATAGGTCGAGCGGCTCATTGGTTCCAAAACCTAGTGCCTCGATCTATCACCACGTGGGCGCAGCTAGAGAAGGCATTTCTTGACAAATATTTTCCACCCGCTAAAGCCATGAAAGCCCAAAAGGAGATTGTAGACTTTGTACAAGCTGAGGATGAAAGCCTAAGTGAAGCTTGGGAGCGATACAAAGAGCTTTTGCTGAAGTGCCCAAGCCACGGCCTCGAGGAGTGGAATGTGATCACCATCTTCTTTGATGGGATTAGAAGAGAGTTCAGGCAAGCTTTGAACACGGCATCCGGTGGAGGATTTACTTCTATGGAGCCCGGAGCCGCCTATGACCTCATAGAGAACATGTGCTCCGATGCTAATGAATGGGGTAGAGAAAAGAGCTCACGAAGGAGAGGCGGTATGCATGAAGTCGACAAATTCACCGGCTTGGAAGCACGAATCGAAGCCAAGTTGGATGCTAAATTCGATGCACTTGAACGAAGAGTGGCCAACCTCTCTCTCGTTTCCGCTGACCAAACCATTTCTTGTGAGTTGTGTGCAGGTGCTCATCATCAAGAACAATGCCCCATAGGAGCTGCCCAATTGGAGGAAGTTCAATTTATCAATAATCAAAGAAACCAAGGCGGTGCCAACTCCAACACTTAGTACTTTCTCTACTCCTTTGTCTTTGGTAGTTAGTCATCATGTTGAACATTAGCATGTTTATGTATTTTCTTTTTATCATGAACTAATCCCCCAATTTCTGGGGGAAACTTAGGGATTTCATTATCTAGCCTCGATGTTTTAATCATGACTTGTTTTTCTTCCAATTTCTATCGTGTAGAATTGTTTAACGCTTTGTGTTGATTGGCCACCTTCACAATGATTTGTAGTTTTCTAGGTTAATGACGATAGTGAAAACCTAGTAACCGAACGCATTTCGCACGACATAATTGCCTATCGAAGCGATAGTGGATTAAATAGGGAATTATGCAGTCATTTCAGGGATATCGTTCTTAAGGCTAATTAATTAATTCAGTTAACTACGATAGTAGAAATTGTCTTAATTAGCTAGTACGTGGTAATTCTCGATAGAGATAGCTATCAAAGTATAGGTATCCCGATTGTAGAAATATGGATTAAATCGATTGACAAGGGTAATTAAATTTACTGAGGTAAAATAGTAAAATCTTGTGTTTCCCCCGGAACTCTACAATATCAAATTCTCCAAAATAATTGATTTATCGAGTTACTTAATTTGTGCGATCTTTGCAAATCATCACTTGATTACAGCCCTTTGCAATTCCTATAGTTTCTTGAACTAAATTTGTTAATTATTGAGTTTCACCAATCCCCTAGAGAACGATAATTTTACTTACACTTTATTACTTGTACGACACTGTGCACTTGCAGTTTTGTCGCCACCATGGTGTGGCAGGTGCTGAAGGCTCGTGCACTTGATGCAACTGAAGTCTCCACCCTCGAGACCTCTTCCTCATTTCTTCTCTTGTCTCATTGCCCCAAACCAAATATAACCGTATCGACTGACCACCATCGCGTCCACCAAGAGGGATCGATGTCGATGTGGCCTTGGTCTGGCAAAGAGACATTGCAAATGGGTCCTTGCTATGCAGTTCCTTTAAGTTTGGTGGAGATATCACATGTAAATCATGGTCGGTGTTGTTAACTTTTACCAGTCTATACTATATGTGATTGACCGGTATTGAAATAAGAGCATACCTATGGTTTGAAAAGCATACCATGGTGGTATGATGATTGAATACATGATAGTAGAAGTATATTAACTGTCATTTACGGCTTTTAACATTGTGTACCACAAGATACCACCCCGTACTAGGGTGGTATTGTATGGTATTGTGTGGTATATTTTGGTCCTGTAATTTGTTCACCCAGAAATTTGTAGAGCACAACGAATTAAAAATGAATTAAAAACTAAGAAGAAACCATATGGTATGCAGTTGGTACCGAGAGGCAATAAATTGTTTTTCTAAAAAAATATTGAAAATGTATCTCAATTTGTAGAGCACAACGAACACGTTACATCTGCACAAAAAAAAAAATCAAAATCCTAGTTAAAACGAAGAAGATATGAGCCGATAAAAAAAGTCAGGGAAAATAAAAATGACATTTAATTCTCCATCGTTAAATCTGAATTTTCTAAATGAAGGCTCCAGATTTAATTAGCTACATAATCTTGAGGCAGAATGGACAAGTCATGGCGGAATTTATTTGGGGAAAATGACATAATTGGGAGTTCTCTAGGGAGTGTAACCGAGAGGGAGAGGGAGGGGTAATGGGTGTAACCGATTCTTTTTGGGATTTCCTTTTTCTTCTTTTTTCAATATTAAAACCTATTAACTCTTAATTAGAGTTAATAAATAGAAATTAAGTAAAATTAAACTCCCAATTCACTATGGGTATCATCTTACCCAAACCCGAAACGAATCGTTATCGGTCGAACCTCACGAATCGTTATCAGATTATGTAGCAGTGAGTTTGGGAGTCTAGTTGGGAGGGATAACATACACACCAGTTTATAGTCCAGTATTCATCGATATTATGTTATATACCGACCCCAATCTCATAATTTCTAATATTAAATAACACATGAATTTGAATCTCAAAATAATGTGTATTCGATAATAAAAAATATCAACAAATTTTATACGATATTCAGTATATCCCAAATATCAATACCAAAATTCCAGTCATACAACCACTAACCGAGCGTACAAGTACTTTAGAAAATTAATTGGACAGTAGTGGGCGTATACTATTAACTAAGAAGAGTCTTTGTATAATTTAATTCAATGATTGAATAATTAAGGAGATTTTCCGTTGTTTAATAGTACTGGAAGTCGGTCTCCTTTCCTTTCGTTTTCATGATGAATACATGATTATTTCATTAAAACTTGAGTTTGTTGGATGGTTCAATAGTAGAAAAATATACGAACGGTTATTTACCAAGTTCATTATTGTTTACTACAAGTTGCCACCCATATATATCAGGGTGGTATGCAGCGGCGGATCCAGAACACAGAAGAGCACTGGGCCGCATTTCATTAGAAAATTAGAACCGTAAAAAAATATAATGATTATAGTTTTTTGCAATGTAAATTGTACACAACTGTATTTTAATTTAGGGAATGCATCAATAATGAAGTCTACATCCATACCAATAGTATACACTCTTTCAAATAAAATACTTGAGCAATCGGCGAGAAATTCATCGCTCATTTTGTTGAGCAAATCAGTTCTCACATGTTTCATTGTTAAAAAGGTTCTCTTCGTAGTAGCTGTTGAAACGAGCAGCATCAGCATTAGATAAATCAATCGACTAATCAATTTACATTGTGTGTCCATCCCTGCACACCAGCTGCTTTAGTAAGGATGGATCATTGTAACTTTAGGTAAACCCAGCAAGCAGGATAGTATGATGAAATTTTCCGAACTAAGCCCGAGGAGTCTGCTATAAGCCATAGAGAGAGCAACGAAGCAAGCACACCTTTGATTTTTCACCCGGCAGATACCCAGGTGGACATTCCATGTACACTATCTGCTTAAATCTCCGTGAAGAAAAGTATTCTTCATATCCAGTTGCTGTAAACTCCACCCCTTGAGGGCTGCTACTGCAAAAAGAGTATGAATGGTTTGCATCTTGGCGACCGGAGCAAACGTCTCCTCCTAATCGACCCCAAATTCCTGGCGAAAACCTTGGGCAACCACCTGACACGCTAAAAAACAACACCTAACAATGGCCAAGTGAAACCAATGAAAAGGACTGCAGTACAATGGCCAAGTGGAATCTCTTAAGCTGACCAAGCCCTCTTAGACAGAATACCCGGCAGGCGACTCTAGCCTTCACCGGGATAGACTACTAAGGCAATTCACACAGATCTCAACTACTGGAATGAATTCCAGTACAAAGCAGTGAATTGATTGACTCTCGCACAACCAATTCACCACTATCAATCAAGGAAGCTCTCTTAACCTAATCAGATTCTATCGATCATAGGTTAAAGGAGAAATCAAGAGAAGATGATCAGGCTTCAATTGACTCAATAAATCACGCCTCAATCGATTATAATCAAACAATATAGCATCCAAAACTTCATACAAGAAAGATCCTAACACATGAAACTAGGGTTCCTCAAAACATAAGTGAAGGGAAGTTACTCCATAGAGAAGAGAAGGACTGCAGAAATCTGATCTAGATCTTCAATCTCCATCTCCAAGCTTGATTCCCGAGCTCCAATGGGGAAGAAATCCTCCAAAATAGCTCCAAGAATGTTCCCAAGTTGCTCTCTCTCTCTAGGGTTCGTCCCTTGGGCGTTTGGAAACCAAAACCCAGTTCTCTCCTTCCTTTGACTTGAATCTGCCTCAAAAATCCGATTCTGGGCAAAACACGGTTGAGGACACAGCCGTGTTTTACTTTTATCCGCCCGTGTTTTTTTCCCAGAAGCCCTCACGACACGCCCTCAGCAGTAAAAACACTAACGGGGGCCAGATAAAACACGGTCGTGCTTCTAGGGTGGTCTGCCTGTGTTTTTACTGCCGAATAGGTTCCCCTATATTCAATGCTTCGTTTCTCCCTCGTTCGGACTCCGAATCAGTCGCCGGTTGATCCTAGACGCTCGTAGTCTCGTCCTCTTTCTTTTCATGATAAGGCCCAACTTTCAAGTCAATCGGAATTCATTTGGCGATTCAGGAGAAGAAACACGAGCATGACCTGAGGAATAATGGATTTCTATCTCATTTTATGGACAAATAATAATGGAAGTTGGTTAATAAAAGAAAGAGGACGAGACTACGAGCGCCTGGGTTCAAACGACGACTGATTCGGAGTCCGGACGAGGGAGAAACGAAGCATTACATAGGAGCGGAGGAAGAATTACGGGCAGCCCATGCCCAATTACGGGCGTAATTGCTTCTGTCATGCCCGTAAATGCAATGCCGAGCCTAAATCCCTGAGAATTCCTATCGCAGAGCAATTACGGGCAAGAGTCAAAGTAACTACGGTTGTAATTCCAGAATTACTGGCAGTAATTGGGTAATTACGACCGTAAATCCTTTCTTCTAAGTTAAGTAAAACGCGCGTTTTGGGTGATTTACGGCATACCATGTTTACGACCGTAATTGAGCCCGTAATTCGCCCAGAATCGGTTTTTGAGGCAGATTCGAGCCAAAGGAGAGGGAGTCGACTTTTTGGAGCAAAAACAGAGTTTTTGAGAGAGAACGTGCGAAGAACAAACCCTAGGAGCTATTTGGATTGGATTTCTCACCATTGAAGCCCAGATTGCATCCCTAGGAGTGAAGATTGACATCCCAGAGCAAATTCTTCCCATTGTTATGAGTATGACTGCTTTGTATTCTGTTTTCCTCTCTCTCTCTCTATGGAGTAGAACTTTCTCTCACTTGGGTATAAAGAACCCTAGTTCCATGTGTTAGGGATCTTGATTGTAATGACTTGGGATTTTTATATTGTTTGGTTTTAATCGAATGATGCATGATTCATTGAATCGATTGAAGTCTGGTCATCTTTCCTTGATTTCTGTTGCAACCTGAGATAGATAGAATCTGATTAGGTTGTTAGAGCTTCATCATTGGGTAGTGGTAGATTGGTTATACGAGAGTTAGTCAATCTACTACTTTGTATTAGAATCCAATTCCAGTAGTGGAGTTCGGTGTTCATAGCCTCAGCTTTCTATTCCGGTGAAGACTAGTCGTCTGCCGGGTGGTTGGACTGAGAGGGCTTGGTCAGCTTAAGAGATTCCAAGCTACTGTCGAATCTTCCGCAGTTTAGTCAACAGTAAATCAACCTAGGGTAATTACAACTGAGGCCTAACTAAAGAGCTAGGGGGACTCATTCCCGAGTGACTCTTCCTTTGCTTCAGAAAACCGAACCATCTCCTACTTTCTTACTGCTTTTAGTTAAAATCACAATCACTCAACTTAGTTGGCTAGATAACAAATATACAGGGAGTAGGCAGTAGATCTAGACCCCGGGTTGACAATTAGAGCTTGCCTGTTACTGCATTTCCGGACTGCGATTACACTTGGTCGCAGTTTGGTGTTGTGTTTTAGCATGTCAAGTTTTTGGCGCCGTTGCCCGGGACCCTCTAGGTTATTGGGGAAACGTGAAAGATTGTTACTCTAGCTTTTTCTTTACTGCATTTTCTCTCTTCCACATGTGTGCCTTCACGGGTTGCTTTTACTGACTGTGTGCAGGTAGTGCATGACCTGTAGCCAGTCGGGGGATTTACTGCAGTTAGATAAAGAGCTTGAACGGACTTGTAGGAACTTCAAGCGAGCGTTAAAGGAGCGACTGGCTGCGGAGGAAGCTCTTGCACAGCTGCAAATCGCCGAGGAGGAAGAGATGGGTGACCCACAGGACCATGATAAATGGGGTCCCAGCCGAGCTCATCGATGGGATCAAGATAAATGGGGTCCCAGCCGATGCCATCCAGCTGAGGTACTTCCCATTTACTCTGGAGGGGCAAGCCAAGAAGTGGCTGGACACTAGGCCTCCCGGATCAATCACCACGCTTGCCAACCTGGCAGACAAGTCCCTCACCAAGCCGAGTTGTACATGCTATGGGCACCCACTCTTCTGATTTGGTGCAGGTTGTGTCTAAACTGGTCTCAGCCATCGATCAGAATGGGATGGTTCCGTGGACAGGGCAGCAGCCGGCAATACGTTGCTAGTTGTGCGAGAGTGCCCATCATACTGTAGAGGACTGTCAGGCCATGCGGGAGTCCAGTACACCCCAGGAGCAGGTGAACTTCATCAACAATGTCCGGCGCAACGACCCATACAGTAACACCTACAATGAGGGATGGTGCCAGCATGCAAATTTCTTCTGGAGTGGCAATAGCAATCCGAAGCCACCTGGCTTCCAAGCTCCTGCAGCTAGTTTTCCGAACCAGAGGCAGCCATACCAGCCTCGCCCAGGCCATATGAAGCATCAGCAACCACTTTATCATCCCAGACAGGGGCAGGCTTTTCAACAGCCCCCAGAGCAGCAGTACCAGCAGCCTGGTGCATCTCCATCAGTCCCAGCACCAGGCGATCCCGTGTCAGAACTGAAGGATCGAGTGACTACCTTGGAGAGCACTAGTACCCCAAAGTGTAATAAATTGGAGCAATTCATGCAAGTTGCTGCAGGCAAATTCATGGAGATTGAAGCTGGCCAGAGAAACCAGCTGCACTCTTGCAGGATATGGACACCAAGATCGGGCACTTGGCAGATGCCCTAGCTTCTAGACCGGCTGGCATACTTCCTGGCCAACCCTTGCCGAATCCCAGAAATCATAAGGAGGGGTTGCACGCCATTATGCTGAGAAGTGGGACTGTTCACCGCAGAAGAGTGCCAAGAAGGTGACCCAGATCACCCTGAGCCGGAAGAAGACTTGGTGATGGAAATGGAGCCAGAGGTTCAAACTCCAAAGCCACAACCAGTAGTGGCTGAATATAAGCCTAAGCTCCCTTTTCCCACCAGGATTCACAAAGACAGGCTAGAGGCAGAGTTCGGGAACTTCTTGTCCATGCTTAGGAAGCTGCATGTTCAAGTGCCCTTCATGGAGGCACTATCTCATATGCCTAAGTATGCGAAGTTCCTAAAGGAGCTTCTCTTGAAAAAGTGGAGGTTGAGTGAGCTAGCCACTGTGGAGCTCGGCGAGGAGTGCTCGGCCATTCTGCAGAACAAGCTTCCGCAGAAGCAAAAGGACCCAGGTAGTTTTACTATCCCGTGCTCTATAGGTAAATTGCATGTAGAGAGGTCCTTGGCGGATCTAGGTGCTATTATTAATGTGATACCTTATAAATTGTTTAAGAAACTAGGCCTAGGTGAACCCACTGCAACTAGGATGAGTATTCAACTAGCTGACCGATCTATAGTTCATCCTAGGGGCATAGTGGAAGACCTTCTGGTTAAGGTTGGCAGATTCCTTTATCCTGTGGATTTTGTTGTCTTGGACATCAATTAAGACACAGAAGTGCCCCTTATACTAGGAAGGCCTTTCCTGGCCACCGTCAAGGCTCTCATAGATGTGCATGATGGGACCTTAGTCTTGAGGGATGGCGAGGAGCAAATAACATTTTCCATTGCTAATACTCTCCCTGGTTCATCGCCTTTGCATCCTGTTTCTCACCAGGAGCACGAGTCTGTTGTGTATCCTTCTGTGCTTCCCATTTTGCAGGATCCCGCTCACATATCTTCGCCGCCACTCCCGTCCACTCTGTTACCAAAAGACAAGATCAAGGAGGAGTGGCGGCCAAAACTGCAGGTAGCCAAGCCTGCTCAAAAGAAAGCCGGAGACCACTATGAGCTGGTCCCGCCTCCTGAGCCTCGACCGCCTTGGCGATCCAAGTATTCACTCGACTGCATTCTGCCGGATGGCGAGGTTGAGTTGACGAGTGCTGGTGGTCACACTCATCGAGTGCATGGCACCACCTGAAGTTGTACCTCAAGAGCGATGTGGATCCGCTCTTGAAGGCACCTGTTCCATCACCTCTCCGAGCATCCACACTACTGGCGTCCAGCTAAACGACGGTAAAGAAGCGCTTGTGGGGAGGCAACCCCACCAAGGTTTGTTTTTCTTTCGTTTTTTTTTTCGGTTTGTCCACTTGGAACTATGGTTTTTATCACCCAGTGTGTTTTGATGACTCTAGCCCTGCTGACTGGTCCCATTTCCAGTCCTCCGATAGTCCATATTCCCGGTAACATCGTTTCCCCTTGTCTTTTCCTCTGCTCCATTGAGGGCAATGTCGTGCTTAAGTGTGGGGGGTGTTTATCTACTATTGACTGCTAGATGAGTCTGTGTGCTTGGAGCCTAGTCCGCTGTCCAAATCTCGAGATTTGAGGGCTCCAAGTACAGATCTTTGCATGATCATATTGGCACTGTGGGTTTAATTGGTGAATCGAATGGCTTTCGAATTAATGCATGACAACTAGATTGTGACTAGTACGACCTATAATGATGACTGAGACGTCCAGTAGAATTGTGTAGGAGTTCACTTTTTTAACTGTTTGCTTACCAACTGTGACTTGGATTTATCACTCGCTCTTGACAGTCGTTTTTGCATCCAGTTCAGGGAAGCAAAATGAGAGATAGAGCATATAGGTAGCCATGTGAGATTTGAGCCTGCTCGTTTCTTTCTTGTGCGATAGATCCCTCTTCCATGATGTGTAGCATTCACGTTGTCATTAGCTAAGATGATGGAGGCATATGATTAACCCATGACCAAATTGACTGTCCTGGTGTGTCATACCCCCTAGTCAGCCCCCTTGAGCTGTGTCACATCCATTCTTTTGGTCTACAATGAAAAATCACCCTTTTGCATCTCTTAGAATGTTCCACAAAGTTGTTCTTACATGTTCTCTGCTGTTTCTGCTAGAAATAATGTGAGGGTTGGAGGTAGTTCTAAAAAAAAAGTTGGGCATGTGTTTGAAAAATGTGCAGAGGTGGTGGTTCTCTCAAGAAATGAAAAAAAAAGAAAAAAATGGATGAAATCTAAAGAGAGCCACTACCAAAAATATGAATAATGCTCATTAAGTAGTGTTTCTTAGCAGTCTGGCTTGGAAATACTTAACATTATTGTGACCTCCTTTGCACTTGTGCTCTAAAGAACTCGAGTAATGCAGAATGGCAGAAAGAAAGTAGGTGGTTTGATTGGTTGTGATTGTGTTGGGTTTGGAACTGTGGAACCTTGTGCTATGAATACTTCCACCACCTAAAAGGCCTTTTCCCTATGTCCAAGACCCTAGCCAGTCATTTGAACCTGTGTCTAAGATCTTCGGATTAGTTAGTGATGACACCCATTTATGTGAACTCTAGCATTTAGAGGCTGTCTTCATGGTGAAGAGATGTTAGGGATTGAGAGTATGAGTATGCACATCTTGCATCAAAAAAAATTGTCCTAACCCCACTGGTCGAAAGTGAGCGATTCATTTTCACATATTATCTATACTCTTTACTTTGTTTGGGTTTGTGTTTGGGCTTTGTTTTGGCCTTTTCCTTTTATGTTTGGAAAATGTGTTTGGTTTTCTGTTTGGGATTAGGAGAAGAGTTATATAAATACTCTTCACCACCCTAATCTGTAGGCAGGTCAGTCGGGATAGTTAGTTTGGTTTGTCCGTTTCGGAATTTGGTTTGTAACATGTACTCTCCTCAAATTAGTGAAATTTGTTCTCTCCTGCCCTTGGATTAGCTAGCACACATTGTGTTGGTGAACCACGTTAAATATATGTTTGTTCGTGATGGTCTAGATGATCAATTGCACGCTTCTATTCTGACATTAGCCACCGGAGCAAAAGTCTTAGTCAAGTCAACACCATACTCCTGGGTAAAGCCTTGAGCAACTACGCGAGCCTTGAAGTGCTCAAGCGCCCCATCTAGAAGAAAATTCAGATAATAAACCCAACGGCTACCTATGACTGACACTTCTGGAGGAGGGCGGGGAACCACATCCTTGGTGTAGTTTGCATGTAAAGCATCCACGCAACATGTCAAGAAAGATCAGAGGAAGAATCAAATTGCACATTATTGCCAAATAATTTTTGTTTAAACATAGTGGAAAGCCGACGAGAATGGGGATGACCCAAACGAGAATGCCACAACTGAAATGTTTTCTCCCAAACACTAGAAAAGACTGGCAAAGAATCAATGTTCCTAGATATCTAAGAAGAAGAAGGTACCCTAGACACCGACTGAGAAAGCGACGACGAGGATAAAGCAGGCCGAGCTGCTAGTTCCTCAAGATGAAAAATCCAGCCCTTCTTGCTACCCTGACCGATCTCCCTCCCGGTCTTCATATCCTGCACAGAGCAGCTAGAGGGTGCAAAAACAACACGACAATCTTGTTCAGTTAATTTTCCAACAGCCACCAAATTAGGGACCAAATCAGGAACATGTAACGTAATAGGAAAAACCAAATTCGGTTGGGACATAGACCCAACCCCAGCTACTTCTAAATTTGCACCATTAGCAACCTGTAAGCCCATCTTTGTACTGGTTGAACATTAGTAAGCATAGAACCATTACCCTTCGTATGATTATAACAACCAGAATCAAGAATCCAAGGAGAGCCCTTACCGGAGACTTGCAGACTCAAGAAGGCCGAGGCAATGGCCTTGTTGACGAGCTGCTCAAGAGCATCGGGACCGCTGCCACTGTCTGGAGATGTGTCAGTGAGTTGAGTAGCATATACTAGCCGTCCACTAGAGGGACCACGAGAAGAAGAACCACCAACATCTTTCATACGAGCCTGCAACGCCGGGCAATCCGAAATTAGATGACCTGTCTTCTTGCAATAAACGCAAAAGTTGCGTTTACGACAATATTTTTGGGAATGTCCCTTGGCGCGGTAGTGATGAAATTCTACCTCCGATCGGTGCTGTTGAAGCTGAGGACGATATGCAGTAAAGGAGGTCGCATTAGTGGGTTCTTTACGAGTAAAAGGAGGGAGACGTCCCTCACGTGAAGCGGAGCCAGCAGGTTTGGAGGCTTGAAACGTAGCAAATACGGCCTTCCCGGAGCCAGGCTTAATATCGAGAACAGCCTGGGAGCGGAGCCTCGTCTCCTCTTGAAGCAAGGTAGCATGAACACCCTCCAGCTTCAGATTTTCCCGATGAATAAGACTAGCATGGAGCGCTTCATACTCTGGTCGAAGTCGAGCAAGAAATTGAAGAAGATGCACCCGATTCTTCTCTGCCTTGACCTCGTCCGAGATGCCAGATGGGGTCAACGATGTAGAAACCAGATCCTGCTCAGTACAAAGTTGTCGAGCAGCATTATAGTAAAACGCAATATCGAGGCTACCCTGGTGAAGAGAAGAAAGCTCACTACAAGAAACTGTACTTTCTGCGACGGATTCTATAGCGACGACAAGAAATTCGTCGCAGAAAGGTCACCTTTTGCGACGAATTGTAATTTTTCGTCGCGTATTGTCTCAGAATTCGGCGGGAGGTGAGGTAGAGTGTTTTGCGACGAGCAATTCTTTTTCACGACGAATAATGTCGTCGCAAAATGTAAAGAGACATTTTGCGACGGAACTCTGCCGTCGCAGACTGCGATAAGACTTTTTGCGACGAATGATATTCGTCGCGAACGCATAAATACCTTTTGCGACGAATGACTGCCGTCGCAGATGGGACGACACTTTTTGCGACGAGTTAAAGGTCGTTGCACAATGCAATGGGACTTATGTCTTTTATGTTTGCGTCTATTATGTCTTTTAATAAAATAAAATGAAGTTATTGATAATGACACTAGTTAAGCGTCAGCTTTAGTGGTAAACACTTCCTCTAAAGTTATTTTGCGAAATGGAGGTTAAACGTTCGATTCATCCTCATGTAAATTTTGTTGTTCTTTTTCGTTTTCAGCAGATAAAGAAGGGGTAATTTGGTATTTTATCCCAAACACGGTGGCATGAGGTGACGATTTCTGTTATATTTTAAGGGCGAAATTGTCTTTTTCGGGGATATATAAACAAACATTGGGAGGAGCATTTCAACCCTAGCCGCCCCATCATCTCATTCTCCTCCTCTTCCCTCTCGTTTCTTTCCTTCTCAGATCTACCGATTTCTTTCTTTCCTCTCATCTCCTTCTCTTCCACTCTTAATCCTAGCCACTGCCTCCCCTTTTCCCACGACATCATCAACTTGGCGATGCGATATCCTTTCGCCTGAGGAGCTCGATGCAATCCCCTTCAAACTCAATCCGACTACTAGATCTAGGTAAGATCGTCGCATGCATATGTTCTTCCGATTTTTTTTTTCCAGAGAGGTTCTTGACTTGCTCTATTTTTCTGGGTTTATTTTTATCTCCGACGAGGGGATCAGAAATGGAAGAATCGGCAACGTCGCTGAGAGCGTCGGCGGTCGGAACAAGCGAAACGGGGGACGGAGACAAGGGACTACATCTGTTTTTCAATATATTTTTTTCTTGTTATTTTTTAATTTGTTTGTTACCTTTTCTGAACGAATATTTACCTCTTTTACTGCCTTTTGGGTTTTTGGTTTTGAAACAAGGAAAGGGAAAGCGAGCCGCTCCACCGGTGAGGAAGAACATATATGGATTGCAAATCTGGGTTTTGGTAGGGGGGAAATTAATTGTGAATACCTCCAAAAATGAACCACAAATTAAGTTGTGACCTTTACTACAATGAACAAGAAAATATTGTGACCGGTGCTAAAATTAACCAAAAAATTATATGAACTAGAAATAAATTTTGAAAAGCTGAAAATAAATTCCCCATAAAATAAATTGATAATAAGGAATCAACCGCAAAAGCATGTCACCTTCTGCGACGAAAAGTCTGTCGCAAAATAAAATTTCCGCGACGACATGTCCGTCGCGAAACAACCTTTTCGGCGATGAAGCTACTATTGTCGCCAAATAGTGCATTTCTGTGACGAAATGTTCGTCGCAAAACAATCTGTTTTCCGCGACGAAACGAGGTTTTCTACGACGAACCGGTCATTTTCGTCGCCGAACTTTTTGCGACGCTGTTAGGCGACGAAATAATAGACTATTTTGCGACGCAGATTTTCGTCGCGAAAACCTTTTTGCGACGAATTTCAAGCTTTCTGCGACGAACTCTCCCGTCGCCAAAGGTGAAGTTTCTTGTAGTGGCTCTATCTCCAAATCAAACTGTGAGCAAAGCTTGTGGTGGAATACTTCTCAGCGAGACTCTTCCACATGGCGGTAGCGGTGGGCAAGGTACGAAGACCCAGAACAATGGAAGGATTGACGGAATTGAGCAGCGCCGTCTTCAACTTCGCGTCATTCTGGAGCCATGGCGACAAGGAAGCATATGTCGCAGCAGGACGCGGCAGTGAACCATCTAGATGACCAATGAGACCCTTCCCTTCAACAAAAATCCGGAACTAAAATTCCCAAAGTGCGAAATTCTTCGAATTCAATCGCGCTGAAATCCAATCTGAATTCATGGATGAAATCTCTGATACCGAGTTAATCGATACGGTAATAGGATGATAATCGAAATGGAAATATAATCAGAACGTAACAAGAAGCGAATTTAACGTGGTTTCCTTGCTCAATGTGAGCAAGACTAGTACACGGAAGGAAACAGAGTTCGTATATTTCTTGTGTTCTCAACGTACAAGATACACACTATTTATACTACAATAGCCGAAAACCCTAGGAGAAGAATAGAGTTCGGGTTTTGGCTATGTAGAAGCCCATCTACGTGCATGGGCTGAAACCCACTAGTCTCAACACTTCAAAGGCTCAGAGTTAGGAAATCTAGTTGCAGTGGACTATAGGTTATGTCTCTGGCTGGCGAGGTGTTTTCTCCGGGCTCTATGTTCTTTGCGGGTGGGGCTGTCGCTCGAACTGCCTCTTCCCGGTTTGTTTGGCCTGGATTGAGGTTTGTAAGCTATCGTTTTCATCTTCTCTTTTGCTTTCTTTTGTGCTTCCTTTGTCCTCAGTTGTTCTTCTTTGACCCGGCTCGCTCCACCACTTATGGGGCGCTGTTTCGGCTGCTGTTCCCTTTGTCTTTGTTTTTGGTTTAATAAAGTTTATCGCATTCATAAAAAAAAACAAAACACCATGATATAGAATGGTACTAAATGGCTCATTTTTTTCAAAAATATATCAAAGTGAATATATTTCGAAAAACACAATTAATTTGATTAATCTGTGTTAAAAAAATTCTAATTACACTTAAAACAAAAGATATATAACACTTTAAAATTTATTAAAAGGGAATATATTAGAAGTATTCTGTAAATGATGATATGACAGGTTATGCGTGGTTATTTGCATGGTCCATGAAACCCTACCATACCGTACCTGCGGTACAACCACGAAATAACTGTATTAGTTGTTAAATTGGTAGGCGGTATTTAACGGTCTAACGGTTGAACTATAGTTAAACCACGATTTTACCTTAAAATACCCTACCGCTGACTTTCCTAGTACGGTATCTGATACGGTTTCATGGACCATGGTTATTTGACCATAAGGTTACTTACCAGAAGTGCTACGCTGATTAAGTTCCTCCACGTCAAACATGGATGCTATTGATACCCCATCCAACGTGCTTTTTCAAAATATTCAAATAAAATTGTTTACATAAATTTTCAAAAGCATCTATGTACGCTCTGTTGGTGGATATATGGCTGGAATTTTGGTATTGTTATCGGATAGAGCCCAACAATAATCTAAGCTCGAGGCAAGATGGAACAAAACTTGAATCTTGAGTCAGAACTGTCGTGTCAGAATCAATTAAAATTTGGATCGAAATTTTAATAAAAGAAGTTCAGCATTCCTAATTCTAGTTCCATGATAATATCCATAATCAGATTTTGAACTATTAGTTTTAAGTGAGGCCATGTCTCAGGGATAAGAAACAATGGTGCTTTATTTCCCTACTTTTTTAATCAACTTTTAACTTCATCGTTCTATTAAGGATTTCAAAAAATATATACAGATGGAATGAAGCAAGGGAATATGGAAGTAGGAATGACAATTTGAACCCGCAACGCTGAGTATTACCCGAGCTGACCAGCGATGGTGTGGGTATTACCCAACCCGCAATAGCATGGGGCGGGGCAATGGGTATCTACTTCGGCCCCATCATGCCCTGCCCTTTCCCGTTCTTGGCCCTTTTTATCTCAATCTTACCGTATCTATTCACATTTCTCCTATTTTGACTTTTGTTCAACTAGTTAGGTTTGATCTTTCAATTAGTTAGAGTCAATTACCCATTCTAATATCACTATTCTTCATTTATAAAGTGTTTTCCCCTTCTTTTTATCGTGAAAAGTATAATTTTACATGTATTTTTATCAAATAACATGTCAGAGTGGGTCAACCCGCCCCGTACCCGCGTGGATATTACCCGCCCCGACCCATAGTACGTAGCGTGGAGCGGGGGATGGGTATTGAAGGCCCCGCCCCGCCCATTGCCATCACTATATGGAAGCGTCTTTGGGCTTGGATTATCAGTGGCGGCACAGTGTCGATACCCACTGCCTTTTTTCTTCTTTTGGGACTGAGTTGCTTGTGGGCCAATAAACTTCTCCTTAAAATTTGTGAGTGAATTGATCAAGTTGGGCCGGTGGCAGTTGGACCTGTCTTGTGGCCGCCACCAATTCCTTCTTTTTATTTGGTTGTATTTCCTCTATTCGGCTTCTCATGGGCTCCAATGGAGACTTCTAGTAGGCTCCCCTCCATTGTGCTACTTCCAATAAGTGAAAAACTCCTTATTCTTCTCATATATCTTCATTTATCCTCGATAATTATTCAAGCACACATCCAAATCATCCTAGATTGTATTTTCATTGAAAAGAATGAAAACATTCTAAAAAGCTGAAAACGTTACAAAAACACATCAAATAGTTGAGAATTAAGCATAAAATATAGAAAATATTCTAAAGATGTATTGAAAGAAGGAGAAACTGTATCAACTATGCGAGTGATAATAACTATAATTTGAGTGTTCTTAATACACCAATATAATTCAATCCATCCACTTAAATATCCTACTATTCAAATTCATTTAAATCCAATTCATTTAATCCAAATCCAAATGGATTGATAGATTCATAAATATGTGGAAAATTACAGTTTAGTAATTTCATACCACTATACCACTTGTTGGCACCATGGTATTACTTGGTACAACCTTTGCTTTTAAGTTGGTTGAGGTTGTATGATTACAATGAGAACTACTATCAGTTACGTGCTACCAAATTTCATTATCATGGTATAGACGTAAGACACCTAATATATGTCTAAAATATATTTTTTTTCAAAATATGTGAAAGTGAATGTTGTTTTGAAAATCAAAACTAATATGATTTTTCTGTGACAAAAATTTGAAGTCAAACTTAAAAAAAATAATTCAAGTAGTGCAAAAAATTGGTCATGGTCATCCGCTCCCCGTTTCTTGAGAGGGGAGTTGATAGGGTGCTAAAACCTTTAAGTGAAATATTCAATAATTTATTGCATAAAAAAATAAAATGTGAGGAGATAACTAATACACATAAATTAGTTATGAGAGGCAGGCATGCACACACAATATGCTTTCATTGATGTTAATGGGTTTTCTTTATCACTTTTGTCCATGCCCTGTCTGATCCTACTCGGCGTAGGAATTTTTGGGATCAGATCACTAATCTTAGGACTAGTGTTGACGATAAATGGGTAGTTATTGGGGATGTAACACCCCGACCTTTGGATTTTGGTTCGACCATAATACGTGAACGGTGGGTTTAACGAGTATGTACGAAGAGTTGCAACCGGGGATTAGGGTTAATAATAATAATAATAACTATTATTACTATTATTATTATTATTATTATTATTAGTATTATATAAAAAAAGGGCCAAAGGGGGGCCGAGCCATGAATAACCCAAATTCCCCACGATCACATCCCTCTCTCTCGGTTTCCCTATCCCTACACCAATGGAAACCTAAAACTAACCCCGGTGGTAAGCAGTCAAGAGAAAAATCCCTTTTGGTAGGAGTAGCCGCAAAACTAATCTCCAAACATCAATCCCACCAAACTGCGTTCTCATTCTTTTGTTGCTCGCGAATCGCCTTGCCTCCAGATTCCGTCGGCGCTGAGTTCTGTCGATAGCATTCTGCTCTACGGTTAAGCTTTTGGTGAACTTCCTTAGTTTAGGGTTTCAATTAAATGGAGGGCTGCCGTGCTACAGCTTCTTCTCTGGCCATTAAGTCGATAAACAAAGGTGTAGTTCATAGGATCTGCGCGGGCAAGTAATTTTGGACCAGCTATCCCCCGGCATCGCCATTCTTCTAGTAAGCAGCTGAATGGGGGAAGCAAGGTTGCCAAGGCGTGGTGGTGGTTTGGATCATTTGTCCACTAGTGGCAGTGAATTGGATTAGAGGTAACAAATTATCCCTCTCTCATTTTAGATATATAGTGTGTCTGGCATTAGAAATTGATTCATGGGACATGAATCTTGGGACGTGCAGCTCATGTAATGGTGGGGATATGGCTGAGAAGCCTGTAACGAACAAGTGGAGGGAAATCGTCAATAGTTGATTCAATACGATAAGGTTGAGCACAAGGTGAGTGTAAAGGGGGTAAATTATACGCCTTACGTATTCTTTTAAGTATTATGATTTTAAGTATCTTAGCGAATTGGTTACCGTTGCTTGGTTATGTTTATGATTGATTATTTGTGCTTTGCTTGAGCTATGATTTGAGGTGATTTTGTGCTATTTGAGGTGATATGAGGTGATTT